GCGTAATAACAGCTTAGAGAGTGGCCAAAAAGGCAGACGCGCGTAAATCAGAAACTCTGATTCTCTCTGACTCAGTAAGTAACTTCGTGGTTTAAATACCGCTCCTCCTCATTAAATATTCAGCAAGATTCCAAAATTACGTTCTGGCCGGAAGTAGTAAGTTGAAGTTAAGAATTTGACAGGAAAGGAACTTTAACTTAAAATTTAACTGTTAATAAAATTAATATAATCCTTACTATTATTTCAAAATTAATGATACAATAAAGATCAGTATGTGTTACATATATCAGCTTAAAAAACTGACAAGTTTTAAAACTGATATACTACACACCAGTTTATTGTACTGGTGTGCAGTAGATCAATCACTATACTGCACACTAGTATTGTACTAGTGTGCGATATATACATTTAAATTTATAGGGTATTTTCTCTCTCTTTTTTGCATTCTTGCGTGGTGTAATGGTAGCACACTCGGCGTGTATTCGAGAAGTACAGGTTCGAGTCCCGGGAAGGGCATTGCTCATTTTCGTGTCTTCTGCTTCAAGAAAATCTAATGACTCTACAGTAGAGCCCGAACTAAAAAGGTATTCTGCACTACCAGGATTTGGCGATTGGGTCTCCTAATCCAAAGTTGCCCTTTAAAAGAGGGAGTGTATATTTAACGTATTTTCTCCCTCATTCCTGAATGCCTTCTTGGTGTAATGGTAGCACACTAGGCGCATGTTCAAGAGGTTCTGGGTTCGAGTCCCGGTGAGAGCATTGCTCATTTTTCCAGTCTCCCGTAATCAAAAATACTAATGACTCTAAAAAACTGATACACTGCACACTAGCTTATTGTACTTTATGTGAATTACTAACTTTATTGCATCATGTACTATTACCATTATATTGCATCCTGTATATCATTGTATCATGTACCTTAGTCCGTACTTTGCATCTTGTATATCTACGCGTTTTCTTGTGCGTACTATTATTATCATGGCTTCATGAACTACTGTCATCACATTGCTTCACGTATATATGCGTGCCTTATTGAGTGTCCTCTCAGTATCACACGCGCTGTTCAAATAATTACGTGCTATTATGCGTCTCATAACATCATCATGTTTAGTTTTTATGTGTCCACATTATTTAATTGTCTGCATCGTGTTTATCTATGTGTGTTCGGTGTTTATTTAGTTACGTGTATTTTAGTGTACCTTTTTGTGTTTTTTAGTGCTTTATGTGTTTCTTTATATTTTTCTTTATATGTTATGATATCTACGCGTTTTCTTGTGCGTACTATTATTATCATGGCTTCATGAACTACTGTCATCACATTCCTTCACGTATATATGCGTGCCCTATTGAGTGTCCTCTCAGTATCACACGCGCTGTTCAAATAATTACGTGCTATTATGCGTCTCGTAACATCATCATGTTTAGTTTTTATGTGTCCACATTATTTAATTGTCTGCATCGTGTTTATCTATGTGTGTTCGGTGTTTATTTAGTTACGTGTATTTTAGTGCATCTTAGTGTACCTTTTTGTGTTTTTAGTGCTTTATGTGTTTCTTTATATTTTTCTTTATATGTTATGATATCTACGCGTTTTCTTGTGCGTACTATTATTATCATGGCTTCATGAACTACTGTCATCACATTGCTTCACGTATATATGCGTGCCTTATTGAGTGTCCTCTCAGTATCACACGCGCTGTTTAAATAATTACGTGCTATTATGCGTCTCATAACATCATCAAGTGTTTCGTTTTTATGTGTCCACATTATTTAATTGTCTGCATCGTGTTTATCTATGTGTGTTCGGTGTTTATTTAGTTACGTGTATTTTAGTGTACCTTTTTGTGTTTTTAGTGCTTTATGTGTTTCTTCATGTTTTTCTTTATATGTTTCCATTTATGTTTTATGTTTATGTCTTATTTTGTTCTACCTCTGTAACCATAACCTTCAGTTGTCTCACGTTCTTACAATGTACTACATGTAGTCTAGCCCTTGTGTGGCCATGTTAACTTTTAAGATCCTAATAAACTCCCGGGGCGGCCTCATGGGGCAGTGCTTTATGTGTTTCTTCATGTTTTTCTTTATATGTTTCCATTTATGTTTTATGTTTATGTCTTATTTTGTTCTACCTCTGTAACCATAACCTTCAGTTGTCTCACGTTCTTACAATGTACTACATGTAGTCTAGCCCTTGTGTGGCCATTTTAACTTTTAAGATCCTAATAAACTCCCGGGGCGGCCTCATGGGGCTCCAGGGAGTTGTTGCCTCTACACAGTGGAGGACGCGGGGTATATGCCTGTTTACCTATGTTAGACACCAGGCGCCCCCGTCCTCCGTCACCCGTCACCTGTGTAGTATACTAATTATAATACTGCACACTAGCATATCCTGTACACTAGTATATACTGCACACTTGTACTAATGTGCAAAAAAGTATATATTTAAATTGATATACTGTACACTAGTTTATTGTACTAGTGTGCAGTATCACTAATTCATTTGAAACTTATTTTGGTGTATTTATAAAATTTGTTTTTGATTTAATTTCCATTTAAATATTTTACGTTTTAATTTTTTACTGAACTAGCAGCATTCTGTTACTTAGTTTTCGAGAGACAGGCGTTTAAATAGTTTAAGAAATGAAAAATATGAAGCAGAAAAATGAGCTTAATATTTTTAGTTTAATACCACTTATAAAAATAAATTTAAAACTTATGTATTATTTGTACTACACGTCATGTCCTTGTTTTATTTGTTTATTCAAGACATTTTCTCCTCATCTTCCCACCTGAATCTCTGAATTAAGGTAGTTCTTCCGGGTTCGCTTCTCGACAGTTGAATCTGCTGATAGCAAGAGTTTTTCTCCTAAAATCTTCGAGAAAGTATTTCTTTCTGAGCAGATAGCATTTGTATGCTTTACATTGATAAGTGTATTAAACTAATATAAAAGAAAACTAGTGACTTTAGGGCAGAAAATTTGAATAAGAAAAAGAAAAAAGTACAATGATTCATTAGATATCAATCTGAAAATAATCAGAAGCTTTTAATATAATGAATATAAAGCCTTGAATGGATGAATCGACAACTCTCACTATCTTGATAGCAACAAAAGAATATCACAAGAATGGTAAATGTGCATCTACTTCTTTAAAATACAATAAGAAAACTTGTTATTAAACTACTCATATGTCCTGTTTGGAAGAAGAAAAACAGCGTTTAATTGCTGTGTTCATTCTGTCCAGTTCTGCCTCGGTTGCTCGGTTTTTGTTAATCTTTTAAGGTCGATCATAAATTGCTGACACCTTCATGTCAGTGGCACTAAAAATTCTTGTTCAGACTTGCTAATCGAAATGGATAAAAAAATACGTGTTCTTTAAATATTCCGGTTACGTTGTAACGCCATTTTTTGTTCCGTAAGCTTTCCAAATGATAGCATATTCTTGCGACATTCACTTTAAGTTTTGATCTGCTGTCATAAACTGAAAATTTAAAAAAAAATGAAAATATGTGTACAGCAATGAATTTTACAAGTAGTTAACATTCATGGAACTGATAAATTACTGTGTAGTAATAAAATAAAAGTGGCGCCGCAATGCTGTTATTTTTTCATTGCTAATTTAAATGTGGTTTTAATTTGTTGCGAATATTGAAAAATCAAAATTTTTTGCCTAAAGTAAATTCATTCGAAAAAAAATAATTAGTATGATAAGGAAGATTGAGAGGATTCTGTGAAAAATTATTTTAACTTCAGTTGTAGTTATCGTGTCCATATTACATGGAACAATGGTTGCCAGAGTCTAATATTATAACTGACAACATAAGACTTATCAAAAGATGTGTACGACGTTAAAAAGATGAAAGAACTTTTTTATTTTTCTTTTCAGTAACAGATTTCTTATACATGTTCATACCCCTGTAGTCGATTTTCATAATGTGTAAAAATCAGTAAGAATCTTTATTAAAGGTTTAAGTTAAAATGCCAGTTGGACAGACTCCAAGTGAAGAATATTTTCGTATATAATTATTCATATATATATGTATTAAAATATACGAGGACATTTTGAAAAGTAAAGATACAATGACTCGCATTCCTTAAAAAACATTTATTTAGGAAACGTCAGTTACATCTTATTAACTGGATTATTTATTATTTTTCGACATAATCACCCCCGTTATCCAAACATTTCTTAAGTCGGTGCACAAGCTTTTGTATCTCACAGTCATAGAAGGTTGCCGCCTGTTGGAACCCAACGCGCACACAATTTCTTGTACCCTAATTTGACAGTTACAACTTCATAAAGAGTTGTCATTGTCATCTGGTATGATCTGATGATTCTTTCAATTTGAGACGTCTATTCGCACGAATTGCTTCCTCTGTTCTCTGAAGAAGGGCATCAGAGATCACAGATGGCCGACCTGGTCTTTGTTCGTCAGGAACACTGGTCCTACCTTCAGAGAAATGACGACACCATTTCGTTACATTTTGTCGATTCATAATATTCCCACAAACAGAAACAATTTCTTTGTGAATATCCGCTGGTCGCTGACCTTTTGCATGAAGAAAACGTATGACGGAGCGCACTTCGCATTTGGCGGGATTCTGAATCGGCGCAGCCATTTTAAACACGACCTACTCCAACCAAACTCAACGTTGAAATGCCGAATGACCGCGAGGAGAAAGCTAACGGTTCAAGGTTAACTTGTGTTACCAACTTACTCATCAAAACTTTTCTGTTCCTCTGGCGTACAGTGTATCTTTACTTTTCGAAATGGCCTGGTATATATATATATATAGGATGATTCCAAATTCATAGTCAATCTTCGAAGGGAGGCACAGAACAAAGATACGAATAATATTCTCATAGGAAACCCAGGAAATCCGGGTCGTAATCATTTTACTTAGTCATAAATGTCTCACTTAACTGAAACAAGATATTTGCAAGAACTGGTCAAAATTCTGTCCACCAACATGCTTGAAAGCGTTGGTGGAGCGACTGACGTGCACTGGAAAAGATGCCAGGTATTTCACGCACACATGCAGGAGATTCTGAGTCAACGGAAGTCGCATAAACCATACTGTTCAGAAGTTCCCAGACAAAGTAATTGAGTCTCAATAAATTGGAAGATGGGGATGGCAAAAATCCACTAAAGCCAATCCATCGCTCCCCAGATTTGGCATTCAGGTGACTGCGAATATCAGTGAAGTAAGCGGGGGGCTTTTCATGCTGGAACCACGTTCGGTTACGAATGGAGACTGGAACATCTTGCAGCAGATCTGGTAACATCTGTTCCAGAAAATAAATATAACGTTAACCACTGAGGCTCTACCGCAGCATGTCGTTAACTATACCCGCCACCATATTCACACTGTTTCGTTGTTGAAACGCTTGTGGTCGCTTTCCGTTTGGATTCTATGTTGCCCACACATGCGCATTAAATACACCCTCGAGGGTACACATCGTCTCATATGTAAATAGCATATGAGCTGTGGAGTTCGGCTGCAATGCAGATTACTGCAAAAGCCACTTGCAGAAATTCAGGCGCAGAGGACAATTTTGCTGATTCAAAGCTTGTAGGTGCTGAAAATGGAAGTGGGAATAAGCGATTTTCGTTAACTCTTACATTTTGTGCAACAGCTTCTGTACCTGACTTGGGTCAATCTGTCCCAATGTTAAAGAAGCTTTCTTTAAATCTTGGACTGCATACAGTTCATCGTCGTCCAGCATTCTGTCTGTTGACGAGGAAAGAACCCATTTCCTAAAGTTGATGACGTAACCACTGAACCGTTCTATGATCCGGCATTCGTCTATCTGGGATATATTCGTAGTGCAGATCTGACGTTACCATTTGCAAGGCCTTACATGTAATGCATGCTTGCATACGTAAAGTCTCCCGTCACTGGTGGACAATTTACTAGACACAGCACAATCGCGAGTGGTGTCTTCTCCTGTTGAGATACATACCTACTACCTGCTAGTGGTTTTTATGCAAATTTCTAATATGCAAATGTGTTTCTTGACGTAGTTTGAAGAAAGCTCTTTTTAGCGAGTGATAAAAGTTTCTGTGGGTGCTGTTTTCCGTACGAAGCAATTCATACGAAATGTTATGTGATCTCAATCTCATTATAAAGTTTTCTTGTTGTAAATGCTTTTTAAGTTCTATTTATTACTAAATAAATGGATTGCGATCTGGGTTTACTAAGTGAATATTATTCGTATCTTTGTTCTACACCTCCTTTCCAAATTTGTACCATGAATTTGGATTTACCATCTATATAATATGCATTGTTACGGATTTTGTATTTAGTTTGCTATTTTTAGCAGAATTATAATTAAAATTGTTTTATATCCCCGTGCAATGCAGCACGAGACTTATCTTAAGAGAAAGCTACGCTGGAAAAGTAAAAATACAGTAGCATGAGCATTTAACATTTAATAAATAGATATCTCGTAAGAAACCTCGAGAAAACAGAAATTACTAGAAAATTATCGTGAATGATTAAAAAGCTTTTAAAAGCTTCAGAAAAATATCTCAGTTCAGTTACATAGATAACTGTCGTTTGTTGATCGTAGCGAATTCGCGGTGAGATCAGAGATCAGAGATCACAGATGGGTGATCTCTGATCTTTCTCTGCGCTTTAGATTGCTTTCTATGTTTCTATTTGTCAGTAATTTAAAATATAACTACTGTGTTATATTGTACGAATAACTCTGAGGAAAAATTTCAGCATTTTGTTTCACTTCTTGTGATAAGAATAAATTTTATTAACTTCTTATTGGACTCGTGCATTCAATCTGTTACGAACCCGCAAGCAAGCAACAACTCCTCTTTAAGTTTATACCATGCATTTGGATTCACCATCTATATCATATATATATAATAGGAACTTATATATATATATGTGTGTGTGTTATATGAGGATTACATAAGAGAAAGATATTAATGACTAAATGAAGTAGGTAGAATACATCTTGCAGTTTCACTTGCTTTACTTGCATTCTTTCATATTATTGAGTGCGTACGGGTTCGAAATAGAATGAATGCACAAGTTCGATAATAGGTTAATAAAATTTATTCTTATCATAAGAAATAAATCAGAACTCTAGAGTTTTTCTCAGAGAAATTCATGTAAGTGTTCACAATATCACACAATATAATCAGCAGTTATACCTCAAACTACTAAAAACGTTAAACACAACGCAGTGCAGAGCGCATCTAAAGATAAAGCTAACTTTGATATCTCATTTTAAGCGGATTTAAACAACTCGCAACAACAGTAAGCAAGCAATTGACTCAGACGCTCTCAGTCCGGCCTTTTTTAGTTTTCAACCGTTCGCGAGATATTTCTGTTTCTCGAAACTACTGGAAAGCAATAAAAGAATGGAATTGCGGTTACAGCTAACATAGTAGTCAATTACAGTTATTCGATTTCAATACAAATTACCGAGATATCCATTTACTCAATGTTAAATGCACGTACCCGTGTATTCTTACTTTTCCAGCATAGCTTTCTCTTAAAATTTGTCTCGGGCTACATTACATGGGGAAAAGCGACAATTTTAATTATAATTCTACTAAAATTAGCTATCTAAATGCAAAATTCGTAACAATATCAATTAAGTTAAAGTTTATTTTTCAAGCTACTGCTTTTAGTGCTATAGCTTATCAATTCTTTTATTCACTTCGAACTTTTAATTTTAGTTATCTGTAATGCGTATACACATGTAAAATTATGCTACGCATGTAACGTAGTTTTTTTTTTTTTTTTTTTTTTTTTTTGTGAAATTATGAAATTCTCCCATTCCATCTACTTTTTGACTGATAGAATTATCTACCTTTTAAGTATTTTTCTGCTTAACTACAATGAAAAGCAATAAAAATGGTCAGCAGAATATCCAAAACAAAGCTGTTCACCTCTAAATGAAGCGGACTTCATAAATTATGTAATATACACATGCCGCTAGCAAAACAGTAGTTATAAATTTCTCTTAAATCAGGAATGAGACTAGTTCACATAACATGAGAAGTAGCAAAAGTATTGACGGGGACGGGGCATCGGAATTTCTCTTGGAATTACTTATTAATGAGGTTTTAATTAAAGCGGCAACATCGCGAGAATAATTAACTGCGTTAATCAAGAGATGCCTGTTAACCATTTCGGCCATTAACTGAAATTTGAGTAAATGTATAATATTCTGAACTATTTTCTTCCGGTTAACTGTTAAATGGTAAAATATTCATAATTTCATTTTTAAATCCTTGTTTCAAAACTAATCTGAAAACTTTTTAAATAACTAATTTTATTCGAAAAGTTTAATGGAAATATCTTGGATTAATAACGTTTAATAAGTTCGTAAATATGATGGAAAAGTTCAGGAACTTGAAGAAAATGTTTGGGTGTAAATTTTCAGTTTTTTTTTAAAAATCAAAATTCTTAAATTAATGCACAAATTCAAAGAATCGAATAACATAAATTACTTTTATTAACAAAATCACTATATTTCCAAACATAAAGTAATTTTTACGAATAAAGGTATTATTTAAAGAAAAAGGCAAAAATTTAATTAAAATGGCTTTTAAAACAGTAAATCTACGTCACGTGAAAGCAAAATTTATTATTGCAATAATTATTAGCCCAAAAGGCGTTAGTCCAGAAGGGCTATTAATTTGCTTTGGCATTTTGCGTCGAAATCTATAAAAGTCTGAATCACTTTTCAAATTGTTGCCACAAAATATTACCGCGCTGTATTATATTTAAAGAAATATTAAATAATGAAGAATCTTCATAAACGTATGTATTTTTCTCTCATTGTGATAAAACAACGGCACCTAGAGCTATCCAAATTTGCTGGAAGACCTAATTTGGAATTTGGAATTTGTTTTATTATCGATTTATATTTTGCAACATTTTAACGAATTTTTACTTCCTTGTACGAAGTAGTAAAAAGGAAGTATTGTAATCGCGAAAAGTTTCAGGCAACATATTTCAACGAAAATATCCATTTTGACCGCTATCAAATGCAAGTTAACGATGTTTTTGCGTGATATCTATACGTAAGGACAGAACAAAAAGACTCGTTTCCTCCAAAAAAATTATAAAACTGCTTTAAAATGAATTCTGAAGAGAACTTTTCGTGGCGTTGGACGAACGTATGCACGTATCTCGCATAACTCAAAAACGAGTAGCCTCAGAACGTTGAAATTTTGTATATAGGACTGCTATAACATGTGTACCTCGTATTTTGGTTGCAATCGGCCGCACCAAACGTATATAAATATATTTATATATATATCCACTCTGTTATCCGGCTCAGTGATCTCAGTTTCTTTACTCTTATATGTTTGTAAATTGTATATTTTTTGCTTTAAAAATAATTTAATTATGCTGTTTTTATCTTCCGGTTAAGGTTTTTATGACTTTCGTAATTCTGGAAGCAATATTTGTACAATTATGAACAATTTAAAAGCTGTTTAAGTGCGGTTAAATTTTAAATAACATGGCGAACATATTTGTTTACATTTGAAACAGCAGATTTGTAGATTTGTTGCCAATCTAGAGAGACTAAGCTTCGCAACCCAAAAATAACGCCTTCATTTATTATTGCGAATTAAATCATGCTTAATCCTTTCTGGAATTTTTTTCGAGGAAATAAGTGTTTAAGATTTACTTCGTAATTTTTAATGCAGATATTTTTGAGGTTTTATGTATTTTTGCCTTGTCGCGAAGTGAGAACTGAATTAATTGAATGAGAAATACTAAATCGTGTGTGAAAAACTGTTTCTTTTTGCTTAATTTCTTTCATACATCGTTTTAGCTTTATTATAGTATTTGACTAGAACATGTGGCAACGATAATTCTTCAAATGATATAAATTTTGTGCATTCAGAGTGTCGTTATAGTAAACAAATATAGTGAATTTTAAAGATTGCATTTATTCTATTCTGGTTTATGCGCTGTCGACGAAGTAGATTTAATTCAATCCAATAAATGTAAATGAAATTCAAGAAAAAAATACGTATAATTTAATATTCCGTACAAGGAAGTCATGTGGTGTACACATCAGATTTTTTACTAACAAACTCAACGATTTCAAAGTGAGCAATGGCAACAGCGTCCGGTAAAAACATTTTTATCTGCACCGCGCAAGATTGTGTATCAGCGATTCTAAAGATCTTGTGTTTTTAAATTATTTTGCGATAGTTGCGTTGAATTGAATTTTGTAATTTAAGTGCGAAGAACATGTTATTTAATAAATAACGGTAACATGCAAAACATTAAAAAGAC